GACTCTTTCTTACTTTTTAGGCTCATTCATCTAAACAAGATCGCTTAGCGGTCACTGCTGTTGCTTTACAAGATCACATTCTACGTGATTTTGAACTTCAAAATCTTTCAGTAGCAGATTATTGTAAGACAAAGGTACAAAAAAGAGAGAACAGATCCAAATTTCTAAAAAGAAATATGAAAGCAATAATAGACACTGGACTTAAAAAAACTACACAAGGCCCGAAAGCAGAAGATCCAGAAAAAGAATATGTTCTCGACCCAAAGCCACCACCGTTAACTTTAGGTAAGTTACTCTCGTCATATTTGGCTTATTAGAGCTAAATAATTTAGTTGAAATTAATAGTATGATTTTTTCTGATACAGAAATAATTTATAATCTTATAGAAAGTTATGTATGTACTGAAGTTTATAAATGATAATGGGGACAATTTGAGCAAGAACATAAAAACAGTAATTATAAGTAGAATAAATAAAAACAGTAGAAACAAATACCCATTCATCTGCACTGATAGAAATAATTGAATAAATAAATAATGGAAAAGAAAAAGCTCTTTCTTACAGTAGGATGACAACGAGTAAATACAGAAGATGGGCTGGACTATGAACTTGCCATTGGCAAACACAGCAACAAACGCGGAAGCGGTGCTGGACCAATGGGAGAGCCATGCTGACATTCAGCCCCGCAGGGCCTCCCCCAGGTTCAGGTTTCTGTGCAGAGGGAACCACAGCTTTACCAGGTAACCCTGGGCAAACAGCCCTTCACCAAGTGATCAACGCCACATCAACAGCCGTGCCTCCCCATCCGGGGCCCTGAGGATGCAGCACCCTTCTTGGCATTCTTGCCAAAATGCATACCTAAATCTCCTGAGGAAACCACAGACAATCCCAAGTTGAAGGCCATTCTATACTGTCCCTGGCCAGTGCTCTTCAGAAGTGTCAAGAGAAGCAAATAAAGACTGCGGAACTGTCCCAGATTATAGGATTATAGGAGATGAAGGGGGCGTGACAACTGAGTGCAGAATGTAATCTGGGTCAGAAAAAAAGGGACCTGCGTGAGTCAAGAATGAAATCCAATAAGGAATGTAGATTGACAGTGTCAGATCAACATTAATTTCCTGACTCTGACCATTGTTGTAGGGTTACGTAAACATTTACGTTTGGGAAAGCTGGGTGAAAGGCACGTGAGCATTCTTCACACTGTTTTTACAACCTTTTGCAAGTCCGAAATTATTTTAAACTGAAAATTACAAAAGATTCTAAAATGATGCTGGGCGTGGACGGGCGTGGACAGTGCGATGCCCAGTGGACATCTGACCCTTTCACTCGGAGCTGCTCGCAGCGCTGGTTGTATTCCAGAAACAGCACAGAACATACACATTGAATAATGTCAGACGATCATTAGTGAGTGTCTTCTGTGCATGTACAGTTCACGGACGATTAGGTCACCTCATCACAGTCAACTCAGCAGGACAGATTTCAACCCGATGGCTGGAAGAACTTCCCAATTTGGAAAATAAGTGAGGTTATAAAGGAGAGTAAATGAGTCATCCTTTTAGGAGTGTTTTTTAAAAAATTTTTTAATTATTATGAATATTGGTAGCTAAGAGGTTTGAACCACATGCTCTTAATTATTATCTATCTATACATAATCTTGGTATCATTTGGTCTGTCACCATCTTCTAATTTTGCACGTTATTTCATACTGAATAGTCTTCATTCTGATTACTGTAAAATCCATCAGTTTATTTTGCATGTGGCGTTGGAACATCAATGGGTATAAAATGTACGTTAGATTCTCCCTTCAAATCCTTAGCCATCCTTCTTCACTGACTAGTGGTACCACCTTTTGCCAGGTTTCCATGTTTATACAAGGGACAGAGAGACAGCAGGTGCGATCTCAGTGCTTCTGTTTCTATGTCAGTATCTCACTGTTTAATTTAGTTTTGCAACATGTCTTAACATGTAGGAAAAGACCTGAAATGTTCCCCCAAAATCTTCAGAAGTGTATTCAATACGTTTAAGTACAGTAGGTGAGGTTTGGGTTGATCTTCTTGTCTTGGAGGCAGTCCTAGGCCCTCCCATCATCCTGCTGCTGGGGGGGGGGGGGGGGGGCAGGACCTGGAGCGGGACCTGCCCTCAGCGTCAGTCACCCTGTGCACTGAGGCCCTGGGCTCGGCTCTGCTCAGCTCAGGTCCTCTTCCCGTGATGGCGTCCCTACCCTCCTTGGTAGCTTCCAGAGGAAGAGTGCCCCAGACCAGTGTGCAAGCTTGCCACCAGAAAGATGCTCCGTTCTCCTCTCACATTCGATAGATCACTAATGAATTTTGACATGGGATCTTTTTCTTGTCAGAACTTGGAAGAACTGCCTTCTGTTAATAGTACCTGTGTTGCTGTAGACAGGTCTGATGCAACTGATTCCTGATCTTTTTTCGTTTTTAACCTGTTTTTTGTGTGGTTTTTCTCTCTCTGAAAGCTTTTAGGATTCACCTTTTGTCTCTACCCTTCTGAGCTTGCACAGAGATGGGACTTGGTGTGAGTCCTCTGTTCCAGGCCTTGCTGGGCCCTCAAACTGAAAACTTGCCCCTTCTGGGAGACGTCTGGACTATTTTCTTTAAAATGTTTGCTCTCCATTTTCTGTTTTCTTTAAGGAATGCTGATATTTCAGATGACAGGAAATTCTTATTTTCTGTCTCCTGCTTTATTTCTCTCCTTTCTGTGAGGTGATCTTAATTTCCTCTTCCAGTCTTTCAGTTGACTTTCATGTTTCTATGATTAAAAACTTCAATTTCCAAGAGCTCTGTTTTGCACTCCGCATGTTCCTGTTACCGCTTCCTGTCCTTTCCTGGGTGTGGGTGTGACGCTTCCCCTTCTGTCCCTGAAGACAGCCACACAGGGTGACGGTTATCCATTCGCTACCACTGGGGCGGGGGCGTTGGTGTTCCCGGCCCCAGCGTTTTGCGCAGCCTGTTGCAGCTCCTTTTCAGAGCGTGTGTTCCCACAGACGTTCGAGCTCTGGGCGGATGTGCAGCTGACGTGGGTACTCAGACACTGTGGAATCGAGGAATTCATCCTGGCAGTAATTACACACCATAAGCATTTTTTAGCAAGGGACAAGCTTGATTGATACTTTATAGAGCTCAGTGGGGGCAGAAAAAGGCTGTCATTGGAAGAAGGCAATGTGAAGGCACAAAGACAAATTAGGTGAGAAATGAGAACCTGTAGCCAATACATGTGAAAAATTAGTAGTCAATTCTTCTTCTGTAAAATTGGATATCAGTCCTGCCCACCTTATAGCATTACTGTGCAAATGAAACGATGTGAGAAATTGTAAATAAGAACGTAAGACATAAACGCAAGGTATTGTTATCATAGACTCCTAAGCGCCTGTGGCAAGGCAGCATTCTATATGTGCTGGAACAAAGCACGTGGTATGTTTTGCTTTGACATTTGTTTGCAAAACAACATCATTAAAATTATATATGAATGCCATGTTCTAAAATGTATTTTAAGTCATATTTTGTGTTTCTTTAACTTTAGCACAGAGGCTGGGCCTGTTCGAACCTCCCCCACTGCCTCTGTCATCAGAGGAATGGGGAAAAGTAAAACAGAGATCCATCCTGCAAGGGGATTCGATGCAGCCCTGCCCAATATGCAAGGAAGAGTTTGAACTTCGCCCTCAGGTAGTTAGTGGGGAGATTAGATAAGAAGACTGGTGGGCCCCTCTCTACTGAGGAGACACAGAGCTGGGGTTTCAGATTCCAGTATTCTTTAATATGAGGCACTAAGCACAAAAAAGGATTCAACGTTTCTTTCTTCCAGTTTCTTCCTCCTATGTGACCCTCAAATACTTCCATTTTCTTTTCCATTAATTAAAATATTTGTGTGAGGAAAAGCTAAACACCCTCATTCAACAGTTCTGTTCGTACTTACCAGATATTAATTTTCAAGTACAAACATCTGTACAAAAGGAATGGTCCCATTCCACTGGCCATTAACAGCTGGAAAGAGAGTTGATGGAAGGTGTTCATTTTACATTTCTAGTTATTGTTCTCATATTTAGGTTTTCCTTCCTTATAAGCGACAGTTGGCATTTCCTGACATTTAACAATTTCAGAGGGCTTCAGTTAATCTCATCTCTCTCTGAGGCAGGCATTAACCCACTTCACAGATAAGGAAGTAGTCAATTGAGTGACCCACAGTAGGACAACTCAGGAAGTGTGCTCAGGTCAAGGGAATCTAATCCTAACTTCGAGAACATTTTATGTGAATTTACCACCACCTAATCATTTATTTTTGTTATGTCAGAGAATGTGTGCCAATAATAAATACCTATGGACATTTTAAAGTACATTCTAAATATACGGAAGAATAATCTTATTCAATCAAATATTTGTTGGTAAAACACTCTGAAAGATTATTCTACTGAATAATTGAGTGTACAAAAGATTGCTATTCGATTAAGTGATGATAATTATAAAGGACCCATATTATACTGAGTTTTTCCAATTTTGGCTTATTGTTGGCAGTAAGTTTCAAGAAAGGTTTTAGGTTTCTGAGTTCTTTTTATTTCAATATTGCACTCTTCCCATTTAAGAAGAAAAGTGTGGCCTCAATGAAGGCAGGGGGACGGTCACTTTAAAAACTGGGAATTTTCCCCAAGACCAGGGACCTGGCTGTCTGAGTGGGGTTCAGCCACACCCAGGTGCTAGAGAGATGCCTCTGCCAGGAGAGAACCCCGAGGCCGAGCCGGCCCCTCCCGCCTGAGCCGGCTTTGGGTTCCAGCCACATGATTGTTCTGCTGGCACCTCCTGGCTCTTCCTTCCACAAAAAACTACCTTTTTCTTTATTTGGTCTAAGCTTTTGTTTTTTGTCACAGCCAAGAATATCACTAGTATTTGGTGGGGAGCTGGTGTCACAGAAAGGGGATGTTTTCTCGTGAGTACACTTTCCTATTTAAAGAAGAAAAAGTGATTCATTTATCTCTAGGATTTATTGCTATTTAACTCTGAGCATCAGACTTCCATCTCAATTAGGTGTGACTTTAAAAAGTTTCAGTGTAGGTGCACGCAGCCCTAAAAGTGGTATCTGCTTACCCTTTCTCTGCTCCTCCCCCCACTCCCCACCTCCAGGGTGCATTCTCTCAGGATCTGCCCAGGACATACATGTACTTCATAACTCTCTCATTTTTACATACACACTCATTTTAATGGCTTAAGAGCAGCTTCATGTGTGTGTTTGATGTTTCAGACTGTGGCTAATGTAGTGTTTCTTGCTGAGATTAATACCTGTGCTGTGCTAAACCTAAACACTAAATACTATAAATACCAAGGTTATTAATTTGCTTTTTTTAATTTTTCAAAGAAACAACACAGCTTACCTTTTAAGCATTCAGATTTTTCTTTTAATTAATGCATGTATGCTGCTTCTCTTTTAAACTAATTTAAACTTCAAACATTTTGTTTGTCTTCTCATGAGCAGGTGCTGCTGTCGTGTTCCCACGTGTTTCACAGAGTGAGTAAATCCTGCTTGTCGCCATAACAGTGTGTCATGCGTCATTCTGTAGCTCAGGGACATGGAACCCAGTCCTGCTCACTCAGCCTCCTAAAAATATCCATTTGTTTCCATTTGTTTTATCCATAATCACCATTTCTAGTTAGAAATAGGACTTCAGGCTACAGTAGAATTCATCCTGGTTTGGAAAGCGGGAATTTTATGTGACAAAAGAACCACGTTTGTATGACAGACTACTGTGAGTGATGGATGTCAGAGTGAGTGATGGCTCGCGTCCTGTGCTCATACTGCATGCAGCCTCGTACACGGGGCCACCTACCACCACACGCGCGCTCCTCAGACGTTTTTGATGTATCTGCATGTTTATTCTGAGGGAACATCATTTTGAGAACAAGTTTCCTGGGGAAAATGTTAAAATCTAATGCAACTTCTTCATAATCTAAATTAGACTAAGTCTCATGAGAGAAAAAAACACTGCAATTATAATACATTAGAAGTAAAAATGTTGTTTGTAAGTAATTACTTGTAAAATTTTAAGTGTAATGTTTCTCTTCAGGCATGTCTTCAGGCTTTTGAAAAGTTCACGAATAAAAAAACCTGTCCCCTCTGTAGAAAGAGCCAGTATCAAACCAGAGTGATCCATGATGGGGCCCAGCTATTCAGAATAAAGTGTGTGACAAGGTAAGAAGGGCACCTCCAGCCTGGGCCCCGTGGCCCTAGGGACAGCCCGTGGAGCTCCGTGTGGACGCTCAGAGGTCCAGCGTGGTGCCTTCTGCTCACGGCGGGAGGGAGTCCCCTCTGTCCTTGGCTGTCTTCTCCCGGGGTCTGCACCACATTGGCAGGGTGAGCTGTGCCGTGCCCGTGCCAGCCACCGACTCACATTCCCCAACACCCGTGTTCCAGAATCCAAGCCTGCTGGAGGGGACACATGGTTAGAAAGTGGTACCGAGACCTGAGGAAGACACTGCCTCCCACAGATGCCAAGTTGAGAAGAAAATTCTTTGAAGAAAAGGTAGGTCAGATGCTTGACTCTCACAGTAGTATCCCCGTGCCAACGAGTGTCTCACCAGGCTGGGGCCACAAGAATCCTGGAGGTAAGTGGACTTGGGCTGGACTCTGAAGCAGTTGGTAATAGGGTTCTTCCAGTGCCTTCCTGGACACTCAGGCAGCTGTTCCAAGCAGTGCCGTTACCAGGGTGTGAGGAGCAAATCAGAATCTTGGCTTACTGTGACATCACTGTGCCTCAGATTGAGTCACGAAAATGCACTCGATTGGCCCTGAGCAGGAAAACAACATTAAATGCTCTGCAAGAGCGAATGACTTACAATACTGCACATCTTGACAACAAAGAGGTTGAACCAGGGGTGGAAACACTGGCTTCTATGGCGGGGGCAGTCTGAGCGATGACGGAGATGCCAGAGTGCTGTCCGTGTCCCTGCATTGGGAGGTGTCCCCTCCACGGACGGGGGACTGAGAGTGGCTCTTTTCATTGGGAGAAGTGGAGGGGGCAGGAGAGGCAGGTTAGAGGCTGTGGACAGAGAATCTGCCATTCCACACTTTTCCTACATTTATATGAGAAAAAATTTATTTCCAAGTCATTCATGCGCCTTTTAGCAAGAATTGGGAAGCAAGGGATATTTAGGGGAGGGGGACAGAGTCCTCACGAAAGGCCTCTCCCCATTTTGGTTTACATCGTCCAGTTCTTCCTCAAACACCACACACATTCTAGAAGAAACAGCAGCTCAGCTGGAACTCCAAATGAGGTGCTGGATGAAAAGAAGTGCCGCCCTCATCTTTCTTGGACCAGGGACCCTTCCTCCGTAACTGCTGAGAAAGCAACGTTCCCAGCCCCTTTGAGTTCCTGATCTACTTTTCAAAAGCTGTGTCCGTCAACCACGGTAACAGCTGCAACCTAACCTGGAATCCTCATGCTCACTCCCTGCAGGAGACCTGGTTTTCTGGCCAACCATTTCCTCAGCAACATCTTTCATCCTTCATCAGTGACACTGATGGTGTCACTCATTCTCAAGACAGTCAATGATTGGTTTTCATCCTTTGCTTACAAAACCTTTTCAGGTTTTGCTATAATACATTCTGTAGTCTCACAGGAAGGACTATTCTGAGTTACTCTTAGCAATTATAAGATAGTATTGACTCTCAAATCAGAAGTGATTCATTCTTTTCTCTTATAAAATTTTAATTGCACATTTGATAGTCATTTTACCTTATGTGTATAAAGTTTTTTATTTGCACCCCTCATAATAACATTTGAAAATATAGGCTACACTTTGCTTTCACATAAAGCAAAGAGTCATGAGATTTGGCTGATAGTATATCTATACACAACACACAAACATACACACACGCTATAATTCAGATTGTTCGTCCCCAAAAATGTTAATTTGATGACATCAGTTTGTTGCACACTTATTTTATAATTGCCTCTGCATTTTATTTCTTCCTTTTTTTTTTTTTTTGCTTTCTATTTTAATGAACTCTAGCATCCCCAGCTCTATCTGCTAGAACCCTAAGTTTTCTGTGCTATTTCTTCACACCTCACCCCAGCTCACTTACCCTGTTTGGCCATAAACATTTGAAATCTGTAAACACAAACCTCATTTTAAATAAAGGAAGATGGCATTTAATGTCAGGAAAACATATTTATAATTCAAAAGAGTAGCTAGCAGCAGATTTCCTTAATATGTGACAAGCAGTTTACAGAGGTCTACAGATGTATGATTACTGTATAAAAAGATGCCCAACCTTTACTCATATTTAAGGAAACTATAATAAAACAAATAAGAACCAGTCTCACCTATTAGATGGGCAAGAATTGTAAATTTCGGTGATAATTATCTAGTGCTGATGAGAATGAGGGTAAATGCACATTCTAAACGGTCATTGGTAGAACCGAGAATGTAGAATCCTTCTGGCTGACAGCTCCCTTTGATCCCTCCTCTAGAAACTTACTGTACAGATATACTCATAAATGTTTGCCAAGATATGTTGATAGTATGTTCACTATCGTAATGACTATAAAAAAAAAAGAACCATAAAGAACCAAAGAGTCTACCACCAAGGAGACATCCATGCAATGATTACTACACAGCAGTTAGAAAGACCAAGGCAGACATGTGGTGATACAAAAAGATTTCCAGCAAAAGTCAAGAAAAGGCAACAAAAGAGGATAAGAGGTAGAAAAGGTAAGATGACAGGATTAAAACATAACAGCAATTACAACAAGCATGGTTGAGATAAATTTCCCTATTAAAGAACAAACTCTTGAATCACACTGAAAAACATCAGCTAACAGCTGCTCATGAGACACATTTGAACCAAATGAAATAAAAATGTTCTATGTAAAGGCATGCTCAAAAATAAATGAGGCAAATGCAAAAAAAATGACATAAAATAGAAAATACATGAATTTTAAAGTGTTTTTGGAAATTTAGAATCTAAATTATACACTAGTCTGGTGTTCATAACAATGAGAACACTAGTATTCTGTGGTATATAGCTAAAGCCGTACTCAGAGGACAATTAGTACTGTCAAGTACATTTATTATTGAGCATGAAAGATGGAAAACAATGAACCAACCATTCAAATCAGAAAATAGACAGACAACACTATATTATTTTATGCAGGAAGTAAAAAAGTATAAAGATAAAAGAAGTAATTTATTAGAAAAAAAGTAAACTGGTAAGTGAAGCCAATAGTTGGTATTTGGGGAAACAGAAACTGTAAGATAAATATCTCATCAGAGTTTAAAAAACAACAGCTACAAGGTGGAATCTCACTGGGGTTAAAACAAATTAGATAAAACAGAATGCAGACACATGTGGTAACCATAAAGCAAAACCCTACAGTACATACATGAAGCAAACCACTACGGAAAATCATCAGTTCACAAAGAAAGGCAGCAAGAGAGGAAGAAAGGAATGAGGGAACTAGAAAACATCTAGAAAACAATAAGATTGCATTAGGAAGTCCTTACCTATCAGTGATTATTCTTAATGTAAATGGATTAATTTCTTCAATCAAAAGGTGTAGAATGGCTAGGTGGATTAAAAAAAGATCCAACTATGTGCAGCCTCCTGGAGGCTCACTTTAGCTTTAAGGACATACATACACTCCAAGTGAAGGGGGGGGGAATATTCCATACAAGCGGAAAAAAAAAGAGCAGAGAAAGCTATACTTCTATCAAACAAAATAGACTTTCACTCAGAAGCTGCAACAAGAGACAAGATGGTTATATAACAATAAAGGGGTCAGTTCATCGGAAGATATAACAAAAATTAACTCAAAGTGGATTAAATTCAAGACCTGAAACCACAAAACTCCTACAAGAAAACATATAAGGGGAAAATCATTGTAGGGGAAAATCTCAGCGTTGGTCTTGCCAACAATTTTTTGGCTATAACACCAAAAACACAAGCAGCAAAAGCAAAAATAAATAAATGTAACAACATTAAACCAAAAAGCTTCTGCAAAGCAAGGAAACCATCAACAAGATGAAAAGGCAGCCTGCAGGGGGCCGGCCAAGTGGCGCGTTGGTTAAGAGCTGGCTTGGGAGCAAGAGCTCTGAGCAGCAGGGCTGCTGGTTCGGATCCCACATAGACCAGTGATGCTGCACCCTCTACAGCTAAGATAGTGAACAATAGCTCGACCTGGAGTTGGGCTGCCGTGAGTCGCCGGCAATGGCGTAGGCTGCAGCCCCTGCTGCAGTGGCTGCCGTAAGCTACCCTGAGTGGCCATGAGCAGCCGTCCAAGGCCAGTG